TACAGTGGTAGTTTTACACACTGGAGATAAAAGTATTTGAAACTTACTTGTGTAATAATCTTCTTTTTCTGTGCGCCTTTTAAATTTACAAATAATAATGTATGAAAGAACATACATAGTAGCAAAAAGCAACCAATAAATCTGAAAATAAAGAAGAAAAAAACAACAAAATGAGACACAGATAATAAATTTAAACAATTTCAACCCTATATGTAGAGCGCCCTCTAGAGAGTCCTCTATGGTTTCTTCTGTTCATGAGTAATTCCTAATTTTCCAATTAAATATGAGTGAATTAAAAAATAACAATAGAGTAATTGAGCTGCAGTACTGAATGAGTCCTAGTAGTCAATCAAAGACCCAATATTCTGCATATCTGACGATATCAAAATATCCAACATATGTCAATTCAATGTCTTTGATTGAAGTCATTGGCATGTCATTGCAGAATTCTAATTGCTGCTTCTTAAAATAACCTGGAATTCAAACCCTGGTCATCGGACATTTTTAAATCACAACTTGTCCATTAACCAATTAATCAGTTCACTAGTTCTACAGGGCTCAGTCACAGTCACAGATGCCACCGTCATGATTGCTGTGACATCAATTTAATATGTAGTATGTGAAAATATCATAGTAGACTATATATATAAAAGGTCAAATAAAGGTGACAATACACCTTGATTCGCTTTACATATATTTTCATACTACCTCCCCAAATATATGCAGAATATTGGAATTTTTCATCTCAAATAGAAATAATTATATTAAATATTTCCACAAACACTTTCACATTTAAATCAAAAATTATTTCTAATCATAATAATTTATTCTGAATTCAGTGCATCTGAGAGGCTTCATGTACCTATCTTTTAACGCCATCTTTCAATACACCAAGATAAAAGAACATCGTAAATAATTTCATGAAGATTATTATATGTGGGGTCAGTTAAATCTGAGATTGTACATAATTGTAATTGTTCTAACAGATATATATAGTTGATATAGTCTATAATCCCATATTCATGCCAATCTTTATTTTTAGTTCTGTGCACACTCAATACTGATTACCTCAAGGACATACAGTCTTGAATCAGCAGCTACACAATAGAACTGAATAAAATTACTTTACACCACAAGGTTGTGCATATATAAAAATAATAGAATTAAATATTTATCACAATTTTTACTCTAAAAGAGTTGCATATTTATCTTTTTTTTGTTCTTTTCTGTCAAGTATAAAATATTTATTTGGAAGAATAACCATGATAAAGCATTATTTCATAAAAAATAAATAGCATTCATCAGATTTTTCTAATAATTCTTGACAACCATATTAACCCATCATATAACTACATAATTAAAACCATCATATTGTAAAAGGAACTGCTTTAACCTTTTCACTAACTGTTCCTCCAAAATAGTCCTGTTTATAGTCTGCACTTTCCTTCAGAAGATTGGGACAAAAATAGCCAAATTTTGACTCAAAATTGACTCAAATTTTTTCTGTCTGCTCCAAAATTAGGTTTCATTTTCAAGAATATTGAAGAATATAGAAAAAATAGTGCATAACAATTTGGGTGTGAAAGTCTGGTGGTGAAATACACCAATACGCCAATCTGCACAAAAATTATTGTTCCATCAATTTAAACAATAATTAAAAATGCAAGCGTAAAAAGAACATACCAATTTAATAATTCATTTGTTTTAACACAAACATAAAACATTTCTTTTAACATTGGTGATATTACTGTGAAGTACTTATGCAAATTAAAATTAATCTCAGTATGTGTTTGTAAATGAAAGAATGGTTTGATTATATATTTAATCTAATCAAGATGAAATGAACAAGTCATTATAGATGACAACGATATCTAAAACAATGACCCCAGTCATTGAATTTGATGGCATATAGTGACCAACATTGGTTGTTTTGTACAAATCATTTACCTAGACATACACATTTAGCAGTCCTAACACACGTTACACGAAAGGTGAATGCGATGAATATCGCATACCTTCAAATTGAAGTGATGAACTGAGGCAACATTCTACTCTGATTTCACTTTTTTTCATTACAAAGAAGACTAGCTATCAATTGTCTGCATTCGAATTCATCCATTTTATCACAATCTTAGTGCCTATTTATCACATCCTACCATGTGACATTGCACATTTTCATAGCCATTACACAGAATTGCATTGCTAGATGATAAATAATAAACAAGCAGCCTCTCGGCTGAGATAACTCCGCTGTTAGCAATGCACATTTCAATTAAAGAACAGAAGATATCATTAGATAATGAACAAGCAGCCTCTCGGCTGAGATAGCTCCGCTGTTTGCAATGCACATTTCAATTATGGAGAACAGAAGATATCATTAGAAAATGAACAGTTTTTAACAAGAAGTCGAAAATATCACTTTTTACCAAAAATGACAAAAATATTCACCAAAATTAGAGAATTGAAGATATCATCATGAAATGAACAAATCTGAGAGAGGTCTACCCAAGGTACATATACACCAAGTATCAAAACATTCAGGCTTGTAGTTTTCAAGAAGAAGTCGAAAAAGTAAAACATTGACACGGACGTCAACGGACGCCGGACAATCACTCATATGATAAGCTCCGCTCGACAAAGTCGACAGCGGAGCTAAAAATATTATAATGTTTTATTACAACCTTTTTTGGCTTTATATACTTTTAGTAGAAACTATTATAAATTTTATTTATATCTCAAAATACAAAACACATTTAATATGATAATAAATGAATGATATAACTATCAAAAAATTCCAGGTTGCACCAAACGGTACTGCTCTATACTATAAACCATAGACATTAGAAACAGTTTTCTAAGGTCTATGAAATACAAATTGTAAAAATAATTTCAAACATTTTCTGCATATCATCATGCATTTATATAAACAAACCCTTGATATTTTCTCTTAGGATGACGTCAGCAGACATGAGTGATTACCGCCTGAGTTTTGTATCAATCCAGCAACTAGTGAGCTTTCCTACATGAACCATTATTTTAATTGTACCATTTAATTTTTTAGTCTTGTCAGCGCCATGTACTTTTATATTAACTTGACCACATAAGAGTTGATGAAATTCTGGTCGATTATACATAATTTTCTTCATACATATCACAAGTTTATACTACTGGAATACCAAAATAAAAATAAAAAAACAATTTGGCCAAAAAAAAAAATTAAAACCACATCATTTTTTACAGAAGCAAAATCTTTTTTTTGTGTCAGAAAATCAAAAAAACAGCAAGCATTAATTTTCATCAAGTTAGGGTGTCATCACATCACTGAAGTGAACAAAAGAACTTGATAATTCTGATCAAAGACTTATCTCAAAACATAAAGTTCAAAATAAAATCTGTGGTCCAGCTGTTTAGTTTTCACAGCTTATACAAGACTATTTCGCCTCTGGAAATAAATATGCATTAAACTACATTCCACTACATCTCAATCCAAGCCAGGGGATGCAGCTACAGATGGCAGTTATTAAGGAGGCCATGACCCACATTTACTATCAAAGGTTTCAATGTCCACAACTATGTTCTCAATGTACAAGCCAATAGGCTACAATAGGGAAGTGTAGTGTCAACAAACCCTACTGTTACCACTGTGTATTGGAAATTGTCAAACTCTTGTTGAAACAGTTTATCCCTCATACTTCTGTCAAGTATGAAACAAGAGCTACATGCAAGGGAAACTTGCTGTGCATTTTTACATTCTTGCTATCATTTGAGCTATATTGGTAAATGTCATTTTTAGACAGCTAGGCTTTTTAACTTGCATATTCCAGGGTTGTGTAATTATACAAAATTGCGTAATATTCGAGTATATTTACATAAGTTTTTCAACCATGTAAACACATTCCTGATATGCATTTGAATTAGAGCAAATAAAAAAATAAGTTTGCCTAGGCTAAACTTTTATAGCATATTGCACAACAATTCATAACCCAGAATTTAGACCAAATTAGGAAGAATTTTCTGCAAAAAGTCATTACACATGGATTTTGTTAAATAATCAGCAAACAAAATGTCAGATGAAAAAAACAAACATTTAATACAATTCATCCTACCTGTTTTTCTCACAACCACATTATTTTATTTATTTAGTGTATTTACTCTAGACTATTTGAAACACAGCCAACAATTGCATATATTATACTGAAAAATATTTAAAATAAGACTTATTTTGAGCATACATAATAGACACACACTTCTGCTATTTACCTAAGCATATGCACCTCAGATAGAACAAGCAGTAAGCTAGAACATTACCACCCACATATACACTATGACTTATATTCACCATAGATACTGTTACCTAAGCATATGCACAATTAGGAGAGAAAATAGATACCCTAGTGATTAATGAAAACATGTTTATTATTAGGGCCATCAATATATAAACACATTTGGTAAAACGTTTACTAATTGTTGAGGAAATTCAATCCATAGCCCTGTAAATAACCTGTAAAATCATTGGGGGGGGGGCAAACTTGTTACTTATAAAATTGCACCTTTTTGCTAGCAATTTACTCAAACATACTACAAGGTCAAGCACATCCTAGGAATAAGTTAGCTAATTTGAATCGTTGCTCAATTACAGATTGTTAGAATTATCTCACAGGGTTCGAACTTTGAAGTTGAGAAGTTTTGGAGCCATTTTTCCTCAAATTACCTTGGTATATATGAATAATATGGTCAATATATTTGTCCATTTTTGAGGGAATCAAGGCAAATTACGACATGACTTTAATACATATGGTATACAAGTTTTATGCTACATGTATATGGATTGTAATTGTCACATGACTATGATGCATGTCATTCACAGTAGTGACATTTAGTGCGAAATATCACTAGCACATAAGATACTGTAAATATCGGTATCAAAATATTCATGTTAAATGTCATCATCATTTTATGCTTTTTTAAACAGTAAACATTGATACCAATTTTATTGCAGCGATCAAGTTAATTACTTGAAAGAAGCAATGACTCTAGCTTGTAATAATATTGGTACTAACTCAAGATATTGATGGAGGGTAATATTTCTGCTAATTATCAATAGCCGTGGGCAGCCCTGACTACAAATGTGCAACCACCAA